TGGGTATGCAGGGGGGTCTCTGATCCCCCATCCTCCACGGCTGCAGGGCACAGCCAGCCCTCTCACCATTGGCTGAAGGGGAACATCTGCTCCAGGCACATCCTCCCCTCCTTTCTTCACTGACTTCTGGTTTCTGCCTGGTTGTCTCTCTCACATCCCTCTCCACACTGATTCTCTTCAACTCCTCTTCACTCCCTTCCTGCTTCCACAGCTACTTCTTTTTGTGTCCTACCCTCTTAAATATGTTAATTTGCAGAGGCGCTGACTGGCTCGGCCATGGCCAGAGATGCATTTGACTTGAATGCTTCTCTGCAAGCTTCTTGCAAAAGATATCCCTGTGGCCTTTCTCCCACTACCAAAACCCCCCACCACAGAAAGCCAACACACAGTCATGTGAGTTTTCCCACCGAATTTCTGTGTTTTCTATAATATCATAACTCTCTGACTGGGCACAGAGCTCCAGTTTCTCCTGTTGGCTTCCCAGGCTGTGCCCATTAGTATACACAAACTTGAGGTGAGTAGACAGGGCTCTTGCCTTTGGGGACTGTTGGGGGAGTATTCCCCACTACTCTGCTAGGTGAACACCTCCAACCTGCTGCTTATGAACATACAGATGTCACAGCTTTGCACACTTTTCTCCAGGTTCATTAAGTTTAAAGCACAATTCACTAAGGCAACCAATCTGCTAGTGAAAATTTTCCTGCTTCTTCTAGGTAGTTGTATCCTGTCTCTCCTCAGTAGGCTTTACTCATGAAAGAATGTCGTATGATTGAAAACAAAACCCTAGCAGTGACACCAGCCACTAAGCCAGGTATAGGTCTGCATGGTGCATTGACTTCTGCCTGCACCTTTATCTCTGACTGGAAGACAGAGGAGAAGATCACTTGGGCATCTGTCCCTTTCAGTTGTGCCTTGAGGGCTCTAAAGTCCTGCTGGATCTTGTCCAGACTTTGCTTTCATTGGTGCCCCCATGGCAAAGAAGTAGGGGATAGTAGTCTGTGCTTCTAACTAGTTGTGTCATCTCCATGACATCCTGGATCTTGGTTCATCACAATCAGCAATCTGCACTTGACTGTGTATCAGGCCGACAGATGGGTGCCTCAGTGGCTCTCAGCAAGTCACCCACTACCAGCACTCTCCACTTCCTTTTGCAGGTTTTAGTATGTGCTGCTGGCACAGTTTCTCCCTGTGAATATTGCTCATTGTTTTTTTTCCATTGATGAGGATTAATATCTGTTGCTGGCTTTTACAGAAGAAGGGGATTGAAGTGATAACCTTCTCCCATGTGGTCACCAGAGACCATGGCACCTCCTTCTCCAAGGTGCTGTCCATTCTTTCTTGAAGGTCTTTGTTTGGAGATCGGTGTCACTGGGGCTCTAATATTTCTTCTTGCAAAGTCTCAAATAATACTCTATTTCTTGTTCACCCTTCATAACACAGCATAGCCTGCTAACGTCTTCTTGCAGCTCATCTACCTGCTGCCTGAACAATTCTGACAGAGCTCACCTGGAACAGATGAGGCTTCCACCCTCCTCCACCTAGGAGGCAGGGATCAGTCTTTCCATCCCTCTACCTGGACAGCACTTTCCCTGATAGGAAGCTCTGTCTGGGTGGCTGCCTCCACTCTTCCCAGGCTAGCCTGGCTAAGTAGCTGATTCCCGTCTGCTGCAGAGCGCAGCCCTTTGCTGGTCTCTACAACCATGCCTCCAAAAACCTCAAAGCACTTCCCAATAAAACCTTCTAATTCTGTGGAGACCTCAAGCTGCTTGGTAGGCTTGCACAGCCACCAGCTATCTCAGGTGACCATCAGGGCTGCAGCCTAAGCCTGGAGGTGAGCAGAGCAAGCAGCAGCCCAGCAAGTGGCAGAGTGAGCAGCCATTCCTGCGTGAACTGCCACACAAACGGCTGATGCCACTCCCAGCAGATGCTGTGTCCTGCTGCTGGTGCTGCTCCCAACAGACACCATTCCCTGTTTGCATTCTTGGTTGCTGGAGCATGTCAGGATCCAGTTATATGCAGCTTCCTGTGATCTGACCTGTCTATGGAGAGAGCCGACACCACCCAGCTGTTGCTCACCCCTCTTGTGAGACCTGAGGCCTGATGTCCAGTCCTTCCACACACGTATGGCCCGAGGGCATTGGAGGGTCCAGAAACCCCACCAAAGTCCACCCCAGGTAGCTGGCAAGCCTCACACTCCTCTCAGCAGATGACATCTGCTGCTGCTAACATCAGATTCCCGCATTTGTGATTTTTTCTGATTCCCCAATTTTGACCTGCAAATTGAAATTCCGCTGCCTTTGTTTATCAGACTGAATGCCTGAGATAATTATTCTCTGAATGAATGGAAAAAGGCTTCCTCCTCAAGGCTGCTTTAAAAGCCATATATTCAGTTCATCCGTTCCCTCCTTCACAGATATATACCTGCTGTGCAGTCCAACAGGAAAAGACTTTTCCTAAAAATCCTTTTTTGCTCTTTTCAGGGAGGTTCAAACCATTTACTTCTACCAGTTTTAGTGCACTAGGTGTTCTATGCTTGTTCACATACAGCATACAATAGGTCGTCTTTAGTACAAAAGGATTCTAGTTCCTTGACCCAAGTGATTCCTTCTCAGATAACCATAAAAATCTCCACAAGTTCATTAAAGAAACTTACAGGTCATCTTTGCTTACGGGCTCAGTCATGGTGACCGTTAAAGGACTCACAGGTAACTGCTAAAGCATTATTCATAGCTTAGTCCCAAGTAGCTCAGAAAGTGAGTTCTGGATCATACCTCGCTGGAATTAGTTGCTGCATTCATATTTCACCACCTGGCATTACTGGATATCCACCTCTCCCACCTTCAAATGTTGTTTCACCTGTTATCTTCCACAAGTGTTAAAAGAATAGTCAGAAGATTGTAGTCTAAGACTAATCTGGAGATAAGCACCTTCTGAGGTAACCTGCATGGTCAGAGTTCCTGTAACCTGTCTTTTTTTCTTTTTTTTTTTTTTTTTTTTTTGAGGAGATGTCTTAGCCAGACTAACATAATCAGGTGAATTAAAACCACGTCACCTCTCAAGACATTAGAGGATGATTTGTACCTAAACTCATTTGGTCAGCCTCTGGCACATCCTTGTTACTCCTTTTCTGGTTTTGTGTAAATTGCCTAGAGTAAGAAAGGGTTCACCTTGGGTATGTTACACTGTTATAGATGCAAACACTATTTTCTTTTTACAGAGGTAATATACCTCCATACTCTATCTAAGCTGTATCTATCTACACTTTAACCAAAATAGAAATGTAGAGGTACTAAATGGAGAATGTAAATTTTCCAGTTGGATTTGTCTTCCATGTAGTTAGTGTCCATACAGTTGAAGGACCTATTTAGCATATTGGTATATGCTGATCCACTTAGACAATTGTATAAGTCTAGGAAAATCTAGCAATGACTGTTAAAGGCAAGAAGAACATCTTTGACACAGCAGCTCATTGAAGACTAGAAAATATCTCTACATATTTCCTTGTTCTTAGGTTGTTTCATTCAGAAATATGGCATAGACTACAGTCAGGAATGAATAATAGACCAAGTAAACGTTGGTCCGAGCTAGTATGATCTTTCTTCCGTTAAATCCTTACTGTCTTATGTTTATATGTACACATGTTCATACACATAGCAAGATTGCCCGGAATTCAGCAATGAATAAAAATTAGAAAAAACACACAATTATTTGCTTATTTTCTAATTGGACTTCGGATCCATGGATTGTTTTACTGCTGGTGATTTACTTCGGGTGTCTATGGAAAAAGCTCAAGAGAAACAAGAGTGTCAGAGCTGTGTATGAATCCAAAAACTGTCGCCTGCTTAGAGGTTACCTGAAAGTAGGAGACAAAGATTTCAGCAGACATGCATCTATTAATGGCAGGTGAGAGACAAGCTGCCTTTGTGGACAGGTTATTTCATTACTGTCTACTACCTTTTGGTTGCTGGTTTCTTTGGCTCCTTGTTATATACTAGTTACTGGCCATTGATTAAAACAGCATATTTTTTCCAAGAAGCTAGCTCAAGAACCATGTTGGAGTTAGTGTTGAACAGATCTTCTATGCACCTCTGAGCTGATCCTAAATTATATGAAGTCCGAGACACGGCACCCAGGCTGCTGTTTCCACTGCATGCCTGGACCTCTTTCAGACATGGAGAAGTCACTACAGAACTTGCTGAAGTGAGGAGTTTAATTAATAGTCTTTAATATTGTTCTGTCAAATTTGTTTGTGGGTGTTTTTTTTTTTATTTTCTAAACTTGATAATTTGTCAGCATGTCCTCGAGCGGCTAAGTACATAAAAAATGACCTTTTGAAGTTTCTCCCTAAAGGTGCAATCAGAAATAAAGAGAAAATGGAGGAGCTGGAAAGTCAACCGGTATTTTGCTGTGGATTTCAAGCATCGTCATCCTTCTCTAGCGAGCAGCGGAGTGAACGGGGGGACACAACTCTCCATTCTGAGCAAGAGCAGCTCTCAGATTCGGATGTCCAGCATAAATGCGGAGAACCTAGCGACATGAGCAGCTAAGGAAAACCAATCAACAAGCAAACCAAAAACCATCCCTTTAAAAAGAAAAAAAAAAAGGAAAATCATAGTTTTGGTGGTGGTATAGGTCTCCTCTCCTCTCCTCTCCTCTCCTCTCCTCTCCTCTCCTCTCCTCTCCTTCAATTCCTTGATGTTTGGAGAGGTGAAAAAGCAAAGGAAATGTGTATATATCTCTTTTTAACAGTCACTGTAAATACCCAACTGTATTCAAGGCCATTAATGGAAAAATGTTTAAAAGATAAACAACAAGCCCACCCACTCAATGATTTACATTTCAGACCACCTGCAATTATTTGTCAGTCAACAAGTGATTGCTGTGCAGTTGTGATCCTTGGTTGCCAAATTGATACTAATCTGTGAATGGACATGATCACTGTTATTTTTCAAGTTGGTTTTCATTTCAGTTTGGTTTTGCCTCTTTTTATTTTTTTTTTTTCTAGTCAAACATATATTAACCTGTTTCTGTCTTTTGGCATGTGAATTTCTGAAGTGCTTCTATTTTGCATCTTAAGATGGAGCTAATATTCTTGGGTTACTCAAACCAGCCAGTTCAGGAAGAACTCCAGAAAATTAAGTTCATGGCTGGATTTAGTCAGATCTGTGCAGTGGACTTAAAGAAACTACTGTGCCAATGTGAAGCTGTGTAACTACCATCAATCGGGGTGGGCATGGGGGTGGGGATGGGGTATGCTCCCAGAAGGATAAATGGGATTAGCTGAACTTTTCTGTACCCGGGGACATTTCTGAGGATGCTTTATGTTGTAGATGAGCTGTGAAATTTCTAAAAGGGCCATGCAGTTCAGATATATTTTTGGCATTAACTGATTGAGTGATTGATAAGATTCTTTGAATAATAAAACTGCCCATCCTCTCCCTCCCACCTTAAGAACAAAAGTAAATTTCAAGATGGCCTTTCCCTCCTTATAAACTGGAACCCTCTGCATCCGTGTCCAAACATGGCATGTTTTTGCATAGTATTGTCACACAGGGTGTGGTACCTTTGCAACCTGGTTGACTGCTGTGTGTTGACTCTTCCCTGCTAGAGCAAGAGACACAGGAGGGATCTGGCATGATCACCTTGGAAGGTAAAAGTCATCTGCATTTGGTAAGCAACTAAACTGAACAATAAGATCATATGGAAAGAAAAGATAAAGACTTTGGATGGTTTCCCACATCTGGCAGTTTTGTCTCTCTTTGAATATTCTGTTTGTTTAACCACCAATTGTCTTACTCCTTTTCTTTGAGAGGAACTAAAATCTTCTTTCAACCTTTGCCTTGTAGTTAAAGCCACGACTGGTACACATCTACTTCAATCAAATGTCGATGATGTCAATTCTTAAAAGTCTTTATACAGTGCATAAAGGCTTTGAGGACTGTCCTAGCACTCACTTCATTTTGGATTTATGAACTGATATATATATAAAAAAAATATATATATATGTGCCTGTATGTGTATGCATATATTAAAAAAAAAAAACAAAAAAAACAAACCGAAATGACATTTTAAATGTGAAGTTTTGAACTAAAACTAATAGTAACCAGGAAATTCAAAATTCAGGCTTGTTTTTGGTGTTAGCTGATGTGATCATTAACCAAAAAAAAAAAAAAGAGAAGTACTCAGAATTTTAATGTCAACTGAGTGTGAGCTTTTAATTTCACTGGGTTTTGTTAGTTTAGGAAAAACAAGGTTTTAATGTCATTTTAAGCATAGGTTTTTAAAAATTATGCTAATATCCTTATTTTTAAAAGGAAAAAAAGTCTCAAAGTTATGAAAGAAATATTAATATATACTTAACACTGATATAGTGCTTTATGGGACATAATCTGCACTCACTTGTAGCAGTGTAAATGAATGTAAAAATAATTTGAAACAGACAGAAATGTTGAGACTGATGTCATATCGGTACAGAATTATGCTTTGATGAGACGCTTACACCCCTGTCAGGTGAAATCTACCCCTACACAGACACCCAGCAGAGCAATTTAAACCACTTATAATCTACTATCTTAAGTGGGAGTGATATGATCCAGACACCTCTTTTTTGAAGTCTTTGTCACTGGTTTGCTGCTCCAAGAGCAGAATTTGTCCTCCTCTTCCAGACTCTCTGCAAAAGTCACTGAAGTATTTTGAACTGAGAGATTGGAGCTTCCTCTCTCATTAGCTGCTGCTTAAAGCTATTTTAGAAAGTTTCCCAAGGAAGCATGCACTTTGTAGACCAGAAACTTATGAGAAATGGGGCAAGTCAGATCTATCTGGTAAATGTATACTTAGAATTTTTTTTAACTAAACTATCTAATGTTAGATGAACAGAAAAATTTAGTTTTGTATTTTGTGCAGTATGGGCTTTCACAAGCTATTATATTGACAATATTGAGTGTAGTATTTAAAAAAAATCAAGAAGTATATTTTGCATGAATGGCTAGTAGCCAATTTTCAACCATTAATAAACTAGAACTTTTGAGAAAAAGGTGTTGAATAACTTCTTCCAGTTGGAGACTTTTTTACCATGTTTAAGTCCAGAGCAAGAAGGTGTTTGGATCTTTTTTTTTTTTTTTTGATTTTTTTTTAAATTTTGCTGTTGTTGAAGCTTCTTAAGAGTTTAATTCTGTTGTTCTCCTGGCTGCCCTACAGTGCTCTGCAACTTGAGCTGTTGATCTCAGTCCAGTGCCTCGTGGGCAAATGTCCACATCACCAAAACCATCCTCCAACCCTGCACATTGAAGACCAAGTCCTCAGTTAAATTGAAATCAGTGCAGAAAGCTGTTGTTATTGTTTGAAAAAAGCCACTTCAGTTTGGCTTGGGATTTGGCCTAGGCACATTAGTATTGCTATTATTTTTTGGAGGTCTCAGCAAGAGAGTTCAAGGATCAAATAATCATGAAAATTTGGACTTGCCCCTTAAATTGCTAGGGCCAGTGCTCAGGAGCAAGTCAAGTTGGAGGGCAGTGGAGGGGAAATTTCTACTGTTGCAGTCCCTGCGTTTCTTGTTCAGTGGACAAAGTGAAATCTTCAGTACTTTTCACCAGCACTGAATTTACCAGAAGAGACGGTATGTCTTGACATGTTTAATATACAATGTATTATATAAACAACCCCCTTCTATTATGATTTTTTTTTATTGACAGTGTTAATGCACTTGCAGATGTGGCTTTCCTTGACACTCAAACTTTCTCAGTGTTACTGGAAAGATCATAAGTCAGGTGTATATAGTTATCTAAACCGGACTGACGCCATCGCACAAACTATCTCTCAAGAAATCTTTATGTCGAATGTAAGCTGAAGATGCATGGCCACCATTCACAGTGGCTGTCATTTCTATTTGTTTCGGGATGGAAGACAACAACAGGTGGTTTGCTTCTAAGTGTGTGTAAATATCAATTGATTGTGACAGTGCTTTTTTGATTTTTCACTGTGAAATATATTTTGGAGCTAGAAAGGCTATGTTATTAAAAACAGTACATAGTTGAAAAAAGAAAAATGTGCAGTGCTCCTTGAGCCATTTTTTCTACCATGTCCATAATGTATTTCTTGTCTAATTTTGTTATATTGCTTTTGTAAATGTAAAAAAAAAAATTCCTGTGCTGCAGCTTTTGTGGCTATTTACTGTATCTAACCATTGTTTGATTATTGACTTTTTTGATGTGGAGTGCTTATACTACAGGACAATTAACACCCCAAAATGAAAACTACAACCTGTATTTAAAAGTACAAGGCTTGTTTCATTGCTGCATGGTGACCTCACTTCCTTTTACCTTCACCTACATTTAGTATGTCTGGAACTCAGAGCCCACGTAATGATACTTAAATGCTTAGTTGTGGGAGGTTTTATTTCGTAGAGAAAAAACACACAAGTCCCTCTGCCTCATTTAGGTATATGCATTTGAAAACCAGGTGATAAAATAGGGTGGTGGGAGAAGGGAGAGAGATGAAAGCAGATGAGTCCAGAGTGAAATACAAAAAAGGGTGCAGTTTGGAACTTAAATTCAGACACTGCATTTGGTGTCTACCTCCTCGATTTCAACATCTGTCCGTCATCGCAGCTGAAGAACTGTGTCTTGCAACTACAGGGCTAAATAACAACCAGAAGTGGTCAGGAGCTGACTGTGATGATAATCTGAGATTATATTTTTGAAGATGACTCTCCCTAGACTCTGTCCATCATCAATGGCAAGTGTGAGATAACTTCCAGAAGGGAATGCAGAGCAGGTCATAGAATCATAAAATCATAGAATCAACAGCCCAAGTTGGAAGGGACCTCAAACGATCATCTGGTCCAACCTTTCCTGAGAAAGGGAGCCTAGATGAGACTATTTGGCATCCTGTCTAATGACATCTTAGAAACCTCCAGTGATGAAGACTCTACCGTGTCCCTGGGGAGGGTGTTCCAGTGAACAGTTAGTTTCACTGTAAAAAAATTTCTTTCTTATGTTGAGGTGAAACCTCTCTTGATGCAACTTGTACCTGTTCCCCTTGTCTTCTCCATATGGGTCCATGTGAAGGGACAGATTTCATCCTCTTCATAGCCACCCTTTAGTACTGGAATACTGTGAGGAGGGAGGTCCCCACTGAGCCTTCTCTTCTCCAGGGAGAAAAAACCTAACTAACTCCTTCATTCTTTCCTCATTGAGCAGGTTGTCCATCCTTCGATCATCTTCATGGGCCTCCTCTGGCCCTCTCCAGTTTGATCATGTATTTCTTGAATTGTGGAGACCAGAACTGGATGGATAATAGTGTTTGTTAGACTCCTGCTCAAAACCTGACCTGGGAGAATCTGATCATCTTCAGCAGTGATGAAAGGATTAGTTGCCCTAATTTTCATTGTCCATGTCAGTTTGTAAAATTTTGGCTTTTTATAATATTGTCATATCAACAGTGATGAGGACTCTACCGTGTCCCTGGGGAGGGTGTTCCAGTGAAAAGTTAGTTTCACTGTAAAAAAATTTCTTTCTTATGTTGAGGTGAAACCTCTCTTG